TATACCGTGATTTCACATTTATTTTTAATCAGTCCTTAGGAAGAAAAACAACAAAAGCTTCAAATATCACAAATCAAGTACCACTTGCTCAGGTATTGAAACAGCTTCCTATTTAATAATTTTTTCCAGGCTGATTTAGACTTACTTAGTGTTGTTTCAGTCCTTTTTGAGTAGGGATTAGGAGACTCAAGGGCACGATGCCAGGTTCAATTTAGCATTAGCTAGCTCACAGCTATTCCAGCTAATGAAGCCATTGATTGAATAATCACAAGGGACTCCCCAAATCTGATGTGCTTACGCTAATTAGATGGATGTATCTGAGAGCGCTACACATCTACGCGCTGTTTCTAGACCCAGAGCGTCCACGGCAGATCCTATGGCCCCGCACAGTGGACCGCTGTGCTGGCTGAACCTTGGGCCTTCACACTCACTCGCTTCCATCCCTCCGTTGAGAAGGTCTGGCACTTGTTGGACCTGTCAGAGGAGTTAGGGATCTAGGAAAGCAGCAAGGAGATTAGGTTTTACCGGTACTGCATTCTTGCTGCTTGACTCTGCTTCTACCAGTTCTAGCAAGTTCCTTCAGGCCCAAGGGTGGTGACAGCTTCTGTCAGTTTGTTGCTAACTCCTGGGAGCTTCAGAGTGTGCTGTGTGCTCCTTTAATCTTGCCTATCTCGTTGTAAATAGTCTCTTAATTAAATTGCTTTTAGTTAAACTCCTTTGAATAGAAATAGAATCTTTATTCTATCTGATCCCTAACTGATAGACATACAGGGAACGACTACCATTTGAATTTTCAGATCCTTTCAACACTAGGCATTAGCAATATACTGATAGCCCAAATTATAGTTGTGTCTAAGATTTCCGTTTTCCCCCTTAAATTTTATACAGTGACTTTTAGTCTTAAAGTGCTTCTGAAATTGTTAAGAACAAATTTCTTTCCTGAATGACAACAATCCGCGCGTGGCCGTGGCTCAGAATTCTTTGGCACAAAAGTTCAGGTGCTGTCTTCATCATCCGGCACTTAAACATATAGAATTTTAATGGCCCAAATTAGAAAACAGCCAAATAGCAATCAACATTCCAAAGGACCAGTGAGTTGTAATATATTTTTACAATCTAACTCTATTTAGTACTGAAAAAGTTAACTACTGTTTTGCAAAACAAAATGAACAAGTCTCACAGTTACAATGCAAAGCAGATACTATGTGACTGAGCTCCTATGGATCCCAGGAGGCATACAAAGGTCTGAAGAGCCGCTGCCTTGCTAGAGGGCGGTTTGCTTTAGTTCCTTTTCCTTTCTTTAAAGCTGTATGCCAGAGCTTAGGAGAAAATCTTAGCTATCTGTAATCAGACTACTCAGTACATTATAGAAAGTACATAAGCTTCCTTAAAAGACAGAACAATGGCAAAATATATCTGCAATAATTGGAGTGTTTAACTGCCTGTAAGGCATAGAAGTAAAGGGTCATGCCATCTGCGGAGGACTCTGAGCACACACTTCAAGAGAAGAAACGAGTTCACTAGACACTCCTTTAATGCCCTTTAAGTCTATGAGAGCCTCTCAACTGAGAAGCTAAGTGTGGTTACTTATTACGATAAAATATCATAATACTTATCTTTTCAACTATTTCACTTTGTTGTTTGATTTCTGAAATACTTTATACCATTTCCATCTTTCTTGTCGTTATCCATTTAGCTTTTGAGAAATGATCTTTAATGTGTTTGTGTATGTCTCTGAGTGAGAATGTGTATGTGCGCATGAAGGTTCCTATGGAGTCCAGAGGGCAGAAGCAGATCCCTCGTGCTGGAGTTGGACATGGCTGTGAGCTGCCTGCCATGCTGCTGAGAGACAAACTCAGGTCCTCTACAAAGGCTGTGTGCGCAGGAAACCACTTGCTGCCTCTCCAGCTCTTGTTTGCTCTTAAGATTTTCTAAAAATAAATACAACATTCCTATATGTTTTGATAATAGTTTAGATTTCCAAGGAATAGAAGTTTTATTATGAAATACTTTTGTTTTGTAAATAGTGCATAACTTTCTCACCGAAGTCAATGCTTCCCAGAAGTGTGTGTGTGTACATATATATGTATATATACCACATACACATATTTGATTCCCTATATTATAATTTTGTTTTTATTTTTTATGAATTATTATCAGTGAATGTGAACTTTTTCTTTGATATCTTTATTTTCTCTCTGACCCTTCATGTCAAAATTTCCTAATTAGATATTTTTATAATCACACGAGAGAAGTTGAAAATATATTCAATATGTTGTTTTCAAAATATTTTCTTACTTGCTATTTATTGGTTGAGATAGAAACTCATATAATCCAGGCTGGCCCCTGCAGTTTTGACAAACCAGGCTGGCCTCTGTAGTTTTGATTTTCCTCCTGCCATGATATACAAAGGAATGAGATTCAGTTACGTCCCACCCTTGGGACTGAGGAATTGGCAGTGTGCCAATGAAACCTCTTGCATGGCCTCTACTTATCAACTATAAACCTTCCTTTTCTTTTCAGCATCCTATCTAAATGTGCATGGGAAAGGTCGAATTAGTGCTTTTTATTTATTGTTTTTATTTTTGAGATTACAATGACATAATTTACCCTTTTTCTCTCTGTCTTTAGTATTAGTTTCTATTCTGTCTTACAGTTTGCTTCATTTAACTCTGCATTCACTGCAGTTGCTGGCAGAGTTGTGCCTAGTCTTTTAACTTCTATCCATTTCCTTGATCTTGTTTCATGTAAAGATAATGTAACAGTTTTATTTTTGTTACTTGCATGCCTGTATTATTGATATTTTCAGGAGATACTTCAATGTGCTTATAGAAAGAGTGAGGTTGATATAATGGGGTTAAATTTCTTATTTTAATTTGCTTGCCTCTGATTTTTTTCTCTTTCAATTATTCATCTGTTCCCTACTTTCTACTTATTAAGGGATAACTTTTTTCCAAAACTAATAATCAAATATGCTACTCTATTGTATGAAAAGGAGACATCTATTTCATGCTCCCCTCAGCAAGAAGCCATGCTGTGCTGTATGTTGCTCTCTCTGTAATAAGGTCTGTGCATGAAATATTAGTTAAACATAATTTGATATCATAACTCCATTAAAAGCAATGACAATAGTACATTTTAAAATATAGATCTAGAGATTATATAGAGTATATAGAGTATAATGCCAAGTATAATGCCAACTCTGCATTCTATTCTATGAGTATAAATCAGGAATTTAGCTTTGAGCATGTCTGGATAAGCACAATGCGTATCTAGAATAATAGTGGTATTATATAAACTACAGAGAAATGATACTATAGAGAAATTAGTATGTAGATTAAATTTTTTTTTTATTTTCCGAGACAGGGTTTCTCTGTAGTTTTTGGTGCCTGTCCTGGAACTAGCTCTTGTAGACCAGGCTGGCCTCGAACTCACAGGGATTCGCCTGCCTCTGCCTCCCGAGTGCTGGGATTAAAGGCGTGCGCCACCATCGCCCGGCTGTAGATTAAATTATTTTAAAAACAACTATGTTATCTTACTCTTACATATTTCGTTTTTATGACAAACCTTGATGTGCAGTCAAGAAAATTTAATTTTTTAAAAAGCTTTACTGATTTTTAAATGATTGCATTACAAAGATAAAGTGTATTTTAATAGTGTGATATTGTCATTTGTGAAAATTTGTGGAAATAAGTCCACAGAACTTTATTCTAGGACCTGCACTCTTTATTTCTAAGCTTCAACCTTTCTAGGTGTAAAACATACCTAATAATGAGTAAGTCCTTAAATACTATAGAAATAATGCAATTTAAATATAGAAATGTGAAGTTGTTGCCAATTACTTTGGCATAGCACGGAGTTGTTAAAATTGGCTATATTATAGGGAAAACCTATCTTGTTATACAATTGGGGTCATGGAGATCTCTGCCAGCAAAGATCCACACCTGTCACAGTTGATTTTAATGCAGTCATTGTGTTAGTTAAACAAATAAATACATATGCGTTCATAAACTATGTTTGTCTAGAAGTCGAAACTTTGGTTAAAAACGTAGATCTACCTGCTGACTTGGAGACTTCATAACCTAACTGGTGATGGGGAAATTGTTGAGAGAGAAGAAAGATAAAGATATTATGAAGCTTTTATTACATATGGCTCATGTAGCAGTTTGAATAAGAAATGTCTCTATATCCGACATTTGTTTCCCAGCTGGTGGTGATATTTGAGGAGGCTTAGGACAGGGAGACTTTTGGGAAGAATTACATCACTGGGGCAGGGCTTGAGAGTGCATACCCTGCCCCACTTCCATTTGGTTCTCTGTTTCCTGGTGTGATAAAAAATGGGATCAGAGAGCTCCCTACTATGCCTGCCTGATGCCATGCCTTCCCCGCCATTATGGACCACCACTCCACAACCCTAAGCCAAAGCAAACTCTTTCTTCCATATGTTGTCATGGTCATGGTGTGTTTTGTTGTTGTTTGTTTGTTTTTGTTTTGTGTGTTCAGAGAAAGGGTTTCTCTGTGTAACAGTCCTAGCTGTCCTGGAACTTGCTCTTGTAGACCAGGCTAGCCTCGAACTCATAGAGATCTGCCTGCCTCTGCCTCCTGAGTGCTGGGATTAAAGGCATGTGCCACCGCTGTCTGGCTTCTGTAGTGGTATTTGATCACAACAACAATAAGCAACTAGCATAACCTGCAATGATGTTATGTTTTAAGAAATCACAGTACTCTTATTCAATTTAGTTCCCTTTTATGGGTTGCTGAGGCTGGGGATGTAGCTCAGTTTGTAGTGAGTCGCCAAGTATGAACATTCCATTGCAGTGTGTGGAGACACATGCCTGTAATTCTAGCATCCTAGAGACGGAGGAGTTAGGATCAGGGGTTCAAGGTCATCTTTGACTCCACACACAGTGAGTGAGAAGACAGTCTGGGCCCCACGGGACCGCCTTAAGAAAAAAGAGATGCCAAGACATGACACCCAGAGGGGCTTCTGTTCAACTTACTTTCACCTGCAGAGTAATCCTGGGGGTCGAGTATTCCTGACTCCTGCAGAGAGCGGATGCAGGAGTCCACCAGCTCTAGGCCTGTTGTAAGCTCGTCTTCGATGTCTTTCTGTCCATCTGAAAAGGGACAGAAAGTGGTCAACACGATAAGGCAATACTAGAGCTCCAAGTCAGTAGCTCTCAACCTGTAGGTCACGTTCCCTTTGGGGGCATCAAAGGGCACTTTCACAGGGGTTGCATGCCACCTGCATGTCAGATGTTTACATCACAATACACAATAGAAGCAAACTACAGGTATAAAGTAGCAATTAAATAATTTTATGGTTGCGTGTCATCACAACACGAGGGACTGTATTAAAGGGTCTCAAGAGTAGGAAGGCTGAGAAGCACTATTTTAGGTTATTATTTAACAATCAATACTACATCTAACAGACAGCATCTTTGCAAGCCTTGCCATCAAACAGAGAAGCAAAAGCTAATCAATTATGTGTACCCTTGGAGGAGATTCAGTTGTCAGAAAATTAAGAGAAGTTAGCCCCTCATCCCAATCATGAGCGGTCACAACTTTACTTAATTCCTACTGTCTTTTTATTTTTCCAATTCACTTTTAGAAATCTAAAGTTGATGAGAAAACGAATGAGTGGAGGTGCATCTAGCAGAAGGAAGATGGCATCACGTGGCCATACTTTACCTTGTGTCTGCCAGTGAAACTGCTCTCCTGCTGAACTGCAAGAAAGAGAACACACAGCTGTAATGAACCGAGTAGCAGAGAGAGGCCTCTAAACACAAGATATGCAGGGAACTCAGAGCAGGAGAGGTAGCTTCCTGAAACTTGCTTTAAGTCTTCGCGAAGGAAAAGGGTCCCGCTGAGATAGAATCTTAATTTTAATGCATTTAAAAATGCATTAAAGGATAATGACATATATCCTTTTTTGATTCACAGGTAATACCATACAATACATGAACACTATTCAGTAAATTTCGTAAAGGTAGCTCATTTTTTTTTTTCACAAATCCTATCCATTAAGCAATAGCTTATGGATAATACGCTTTATTCATTTTTAGTTATTTTGAAATATAAGTCTGCATAGTATTAGACATTGTAATGTAGCCAAATAAAGAAATATATATCCCCCTTTAATTAAAAAAAACAAAATAAAGTAGCTTTTTGCCTTTATTTCAACATTTTCTATGAATCCTTCTTTCCAGCTGATTATTGTGGCTTAAACAATGTGGCTTAAAAATAATAACATATTACCACCAACTGAACATTTTCTCCTAACAAAATATCTTATAAAAACGGTCCAGCTAGGAGTTGCTCATCTATCTATCTATCGATCGATGATCAATCGATCGATCGATTGATCGGTCTGTCTGTCTGTCTGTCTATCATAGGCAAGTGACATTTCAGAGTAGGCCTGTATACATGACTGACTTATTTTGCATCACTTATTAACTACAACATAAGTAAATACACTTGAAATTTCTGTTCGTGAACAATTTCCATTGTACGTTCTTCTAACGGTACTATCATTTCCAGTCAATAACTGAGGAGAAACAAGGCTATCAGTGACAGATACCATTTTGAGAATGATTTTCTTCAGGCATTTCACCAGGTCTTTGTCTTGATCAAGCAGCTTCTATGAATGGCTCATCAGTCCCTTAACAGTAAGTGAATTTTAGACCCTTGATTTGTACCTCAGAGGCAGCTTCGGAATCCGTTGATCTGGGAAAGGGGAATTCTGGTAGAAGCCAGCACCCAGAAAAGCCATGATTGATGTAAGTGAGAGCAAGAACGGCCCCTTCAGATACGAATGACTGCTACAGCATGCCTTGCTCCTGAACCAACTCACATTAGCAAAACGGAAAAGCCTTTAACAATGCTAAGCACTGTAAGGCAGATCTGACACATAAAAAGGTAGCTACAGATTCATTTCCATGAAGCTCTTACGCGCATTAAAGAGATAGAAAATCATACAAAAGCTATTTATAGCCACACAGTCCCACCCTTACCGTAGGAATGTAACACACAAATCAATATTTTCTAAAGTGACCAGGAGGGCAGGCTCCTTAGTCGGTATCACAGAATATAAGGCTGCTCCACATTAAAGCTCCAAGAATCACCATGGTACGACTTAACCACAGCCATCATGGCCACACTAAACCCTTAAGAATGCTATTCACTGAGCATCTGCTGTCATGATTCTACTATTGCACATCAATTCATTGGACATTTCCCCAAACTAGTATTCGGGCATCTTGATTCTGAGTGACTCTAAGTGCATATTGTTTGTGTCATAATCATCTGTGGCACTTCTTAAATGTATAGGTGAAGCCCCACCTATAGAAGCCTAAAAACTCAGAAAATATGTAGGCTCAGCTGAGTGTCTGCTGTAAGCAATAAGGTTCCATAGCCCTAATGTGCTCTGAATGCTAGAATCACTAAGGAAGACCCTCATGGTCAGGTTACTGCTGATCCAGGCTTTATTACTCTGCATTTTAAGGCTGGACAGACTTTGAAGGTAGTATAACTTTCTTAGTGTGCATGCCATCAGTTTATACAAGAATAGAAAACATTCTCTCACTGTAGCGGGATGAATAGTGGTTTCCCTCCGAAACAAACTCGAGATCAAAGTCTTGGAACTTGTGCAAGGCAGTCTGCTTTTAGACAGGGCTTTGAGGACCTATTATCAGTTAACTGTCTTCAGTCAGATCATGTCCAGTGGGGACTTAAACACGAGATCCTTATAAGAGACAGAAGAGGACCCACAGAGACATGGGAATGGCCAGGTGAAGATGGGGGTGAAGACTGGGGTGACTCGGACATGGGTCAGTGGAAACCACACAACCAGGAAGAGTTTTTTGGGGGGAGGAATTTCCTGTCTTTTAAAGCCTGTCACTCAGCCGACACAATGGCTTCAAACTTTTGGCCTCCAAAACTGTGAGAATAAAGTTGTGCTGTTTTGAAGCCAGGAAGATGTGGTAACTGTCATGGCAGCCTCTGATAGCTCTAATACTACTTTTCCCCTGATACAATGAGAGGATTGCTACTACCTTCACACTATTGCAGGCTGAAAGCAATCCATGCATTTGGTACTAAGACCACATATACAGTAGGTCCTTTTCTCAACACGCACCAACGTCTTTCTTCCTTTTAACAGAAGAACTTAGTGATGCTAAGGATTGTGACTATATAGCAACTAAGAGTCTCATCAAGGCTTTGAACTGACTTGCATAACACAATGCCAACCTCTCACCCACAGTACAAAGTCCCTCACTGGGGTGTGGAGGATAGATACGTCTTAAGCTTCCTCATGTCTAAAGCAGTGCAAGTGAGTGAACCATCCCTTGAGGTCATCTGTGTCCTGTTCTCCCCATGTGGGACACTGAGATGCACATTGCTCCAGGCCATTACATATAGACAAGGTTACACACAGCCTCAAGGGAGGAAGAGAAGGGTGACATTTCCTGCCCCAGCATGGAAAGGCAGGCATGGGTTCTCTGAACGCTCTACCAGGTTAAGCCCTGTATTTGGATGGGTCTATAAGGACGGACACTTCTGCCAGCCTACACAGAACACAGGTGAGAAATAAGGGGTTGCGGTTTAGAAACTCTGAAATTGAAGGTTGATTCTATAGAACTCACGCCACACTAACCACTAGAGAAATGCATCATTGTTGGTGTTCACAGGCAGTTCTTCTTCTTGACTAACGCCTTGCAGGTGATGAAGCTGGATGGAAGGGGCCCGAGGCAATCACTGCAAAGAGAAGGTGGGGCCTCTGCTAATGCTCATTTGGGGGTTTGTCTGTTCCTCTACAATAGGTGAATCACTGCATAACATTATATCACCAGATAGTCATCCTTTGGCTCATCCCTTTATAAAGGGTTTCAGTTTTATGATGTCATAGACATGATAAGGAACATTATTATTATTATTACTACAATAGAAAAAACCCACTATTGATGGTAATATAGAAATGTTCTCTCAGGAAGAAAAATCATATTCCTTTGGGGCAGACAAAAAGCATTAATCACTTCAGAGTCTTCCTTGATTTCTTTCAGATAGTTAGAACGCATTAGCAGTAAGACTTATCACAGAGTGCAGACATCCCCAGAGGAACCTGGTTTGGGTTTTGTTTCCTTAAATGCGTACTTTCCTTTCTCTGCTCTAGGATTCTATGTAACTGCGTGGTTTATGTGCCCGATTTCTTCCCTTAAGAAGAGCTATAAGATGGATACAACTTTAAAAAACAAAACCCCAAACCCCCAAAGCTCAACTATTCACTAAAGGATCAAGGGTCAGGCCTGTATCTCAGATATTCTCGTATCCAGGATTAGGGATTAGTAATTAGTAAACATCCTCAATTATATAAGTGAATTTAGTACAATGGAAAAAAATCCATTTGTAGAAAGACATAATTCATTTCCCCTCCGTGCCACATGTGAGGAAAATGACAGAATCATGCTTGCAAAATCGAGGTCCTCTGAACATTTCTAGCTGGGAACCGATAACTTCCATGTTCTGAGGTCATGAAGTTTGTGTGTGGTGGGTGAGCCTAGTTTAGATCGAAGAATCACCTTGAGTTCCCTGCAAAGTGGGTCCCACCATTGTCTTCCCTGATGATCACCTCAGCCGCCTATGAGCCATTTCTAATAAAGAACAGAGATGAAAGTTCAGAGGTGACACAGAGCAAGCCGTCGCTACTGATACTTTCTCTCAAATATATTTTCCTTTGTGGCTTCCGGGTGCCTGAAGCACCAGTCTCCACCCCGAACTGTGCGGGCCATGATTGCTCCCAACTTCTTTCAAAATGAAATAAAGGTACAGAATCACGACGCTCGTGTTAGGTTTGCTTTGAAGCTGAGCACAGCACCTAAAACACAGGCCAGGGAAGCTATTGTAAAATAAATTGCTTTCAAACTCATGTTTGATTCTACCCTACAGGGACAAAGATCCTCATATTGATGGCATCTGTATGTCTTGACCCTTGGCTCTAATAGAAAATAGCTTTTAGTAGTTAATTTCTATGCAGTACCTCACACTATGGGCAATGATTGCAAAATAAAATGACCTTAGTTCAAAGTCTTAGATACTGTCGGAATGATATGTGTATGATAAAAACGGTAAGAAATGGATCTGTCTGGTTTGTGGTATTTTGCTGCAGGCCACTGCTGTCTTTTTATCTGTGTGTTCTGTTTCCTAGGCTGAGGGTGAGCATCTCTCCTTTTCCCTTTGGCTACTGTCCCTGAAATAGCCCCAGCCGAACAGCGCAGTCAGAATATCTTGCATGTAAATGACATGTTGAGTTCTTTCTTAGATCACAAAACTTTCTGCTTTGATTATTACAACAAAATATACACTTTTATTGCTACTACAAACATTTTCATAGGGCTTCAAAAGTTAGCATGAGGAGCATCATGCTGAACCAGGAAGTCACACATGTGCAGTACTGGGCAGGGTGGTCTCTGGAGATCAGACCCTGTGGAGCTGGAGTCCAGCTCTGGCACATCCAGTTCACAATACTGTAGGCAAGACTTGAACATAGGACAAACTGTGAGGATTCAGTCAGTTCCTTTTTCTTAGGTGTTTAAACGTGTGCTGATTAGAGGCTTAGAGCACCTAAGAAGTATGCAGCGGCTTAAAACTGCTTATGAATAATAGCTGGCTATGACTATAACCATTTATTATAAATTACTGAATGTCAGTGCCAGTAATTATAAACTGA